CAGAAAAAGGCAGAGCAAAAGAAAACGAAAGAATAAAATGAAAAGAAAATAAACAATAAACAATGCGGTGCCAGTGTGTGTGTCTGTGCGCGCGCGTGTGTGTGTGTGTGTGCGCAATATTTTCTTGTTTATTTGCACTAATTACTTAAACGGAAGAACAATAATAGTAATAAATACAATTTTCAGTTTAACTAGAACAACAGCAACAACAACAACAAAAAGAACAACAACAGCAACAACAAAAGGCAGTGTGCAAGTGGATACCTCTCAATGGCCGCCACTACAACAACAACCACAACACTAGCAACAACCATCAATATAAGCAACAACCACAACAACAACAACAACAACAACAATCCCAGCAGCAACAGCAACAGCAACAACAACAATCACATTGTAACGGTACACGCCGTTTTAAACACACCCACCTCCGCAGCAGCAACAGCAGCAGCAGCAGCGAGCGCTGCAGACGCGGCAACTGTTGCCATAGCTAAGGACATGCTGCAGCTTCATCATGGCGCCGCTGCAGCGTTAAACAACAATAACAATAACAATAGCAGCGTCGAACTGGCCAGCAACAATCAAAATAATAACAACAACAATAACAATAACAACAACAACAACAACAACATCAACTCAGCAAACCACCCACCTGCCAATGTAGTCGTATCGAGTGGCATCAGCTCCAGCTCCCCGCCGGCAAATGCCTACGGTGTGCTGCGCTTCAATGAAGACTTGCTCCATATAACGGACGAGGTGACCGTCATTGGACGCAATTCATCCACATCGCTGGTGCACTTCAACGTGGCCGAGAACAATTTGGTCTCTCGTAAACATTTCCAGGTGCTCTACGAACCCGAGCGGCGCGCCTTCTTTGTGCAGTGCCTCAGCAAGAATGGCATCTTCGTTGATGACTTTCTGCAGCGGCGCAATGTGGATCCACTGCGATTGCCCCAACGGTAGGCCAAATTGTGACCAATTGGCTCAAATCTTGCTCAATTAATGCTTGTCCTCTTTGCAGCTGCTTCTTTCGATTTCCGAGCACCGAGATACGCATCGAATTCGAGAGCTTTGTAGCCGCACCGGCGGACATTACGCCGGAGGTAGCACCGGTGTTGAGCAGTCCGGCAGCAGTTGGAACGGCGGGCGCCCATGTTATTATAACTCCACCGCCCCGTGACGAACTGCACTCGCTGCAGGCATCATCGCATCATCACAGCCAACAGCAGCAGCAACAGCCAGCGCATCACTTGCAGCAGCAGCAGCAGCAGGCACAGCAACAACAACAACCGCTGCCACCGCATCACCCACTCCCACACGCACCACACCACCCGCTTCACCACACAAGTCTGCAGCAGCAGCAGCGTCTACCAGGAGCACCGCCCACAGCATCCCAGCTGTTAACAACCGGCGCCGATGGAGCTGCCATCTACTCACCGCTTAAGATTTCAATACCCAAGAAGGAGCAGAAGAGCCCCTATCTATCGCCAACCGGTAAGTGGATTCCAATTGGCGTCCAATTGGATACGGTGTGTAAAGGGTTACGTGAGTGATAGAACCAGATTCCTAGCTTAGCTGCGCGTTTTAATCAACTCGTCTTTGTTTTTATTTTTCATTTGACAATTAATCAGCTGCAGCTGTGCAAATGAAATGTTTCTTTTCCTTTTTTTGATCAAAATTGTTTGTTCTCTAATTCCAAAGCGAGAAGCGCATTTTATTTTTGTTAAAGCACAATGATATTGTCTTGGGCGGCCACAGCGTACGTGCTGAGCTTTACGCAAAATCTGTTGCGTATACGGGAAAAAAATAACAATCTTAAAACTGATAGCACAATCACGCCGCAACCTAATGCAGCTGAGGCAGCAGCAGCCACCACCAGTTCCGGGCTGGTCAAACAATCAAAATCCGTTAAGGACCCATCCAGGGAACTGCAATAATCCCCGGTCATGTTCTAAGCATATTTAATTGATCAAATTCAAATTTTAACATAGGACATTCTTTGCATATTCTATTTTAACATAATAAAGTTTCGAGAGAAGAACATAAAGTATTGTTATTTATTTAAATTAAAACTTTATTTATTACATATTCTATCTCTATGCACACACAGGTACAATCAGCGCTGCCAACAGTTGTCCGGCTAGTCCTCGTCAGGGTTTTCATCAGAATCAAACCAACAGCTACAACAATTATAGCAACAACAACACGGTAGGCATTGTGCAATAATAAAACTTTACACATTTCAAACTGTATTTTGTTTGCTTTTGCATTTGCAGCAGGATCTATTCCAGACACCGTCTACCGCCAGTTATAACCACAATGAGAAGCCGCCGTATAGCTACGCTCAGCTGATTGTTCAAGCCATATCTGCCGCTCCGGACAAGCAGCTGACACTCTCGGGCATTTATTCGTTCATTGTCAAGCATTATCCCTACTACCGCAAGGAGACAAACAAGGGTTGGCAGAATTCCATACGACATAATCTCAGTTTAAATAGGTTTGTCTACTATCTACTTTGAATTGAAAACTTTGAGCACACTTTTAATCCGGCTTGTCCACTTGCAGGTATTTCATCAAGGTTGCGCGCTCGCAGGATGAGCCCGGCAAGGGCTCCTTCTGGCGCATCGATCCGGACAGCGGCGCTAAGCTAATCGATCACAGTTACAAGAAGCGTCGCCAGCGCAGCAGTCAGGGCTTCCGTCCGCCCTACGGCATGCCGCGTTCGGCGCCAGTCTCGCCCAGTCATATGGGTAAGTCCTACACGTCAAGTTTTCTCCAAACCTCATTCAAATAAGCCAAACAAATCTTTGACTTTGCAGATAACTCACGCGAGAGCTCGCCGCTTCAGGACATTGTGCTGCAATCGGCCCCCGGCTCACCGGGCATGTCACTCGAACAGCGCGCCGCCGATGCTGGTAAGCGGAAAGAAAGCTGCCAAAGCTAATTGCATAAGATTATGTTTTTAAGCAAGCGTTGTGTGACTTAAACTTTAATAAGTGAAGCTTGTAGCTTTCCTTTTCTCTTTTATATAGTCTGATTTTGTATTCAGACCAATTAGAAGCCCGCCAGAAAGTTCATAATTAACAGACATGTGTTAAATTAAATAATAAATAATAATTAAAAAACCAATTGGTTCGATTCACAACTCGATTTTTGAGAGAATCTCACAGTAGACTTATCTAGGCAATACAAATGCAAACGTTGGGGCTTAAGTAACTTGAGTTTTTAGTCTAGATCTATACACTATTTAATTTAAATAATAACAAATATGTGAGTGTAGAGAGAGAGAGAGAGAGAGGATGTTAGTTGTATATAAGTCATATAGAAATACGATCTCGTCGATCCACAAGGACTTTTACTTAAGAGTATGCGTCATGCTAACGTATTGTATTATATATTATTGCAGAAATCATCTACAATTCTCAAAATGCACACCAGCAACAGCAGCAGCAGCAGCAACAACAACAGCAACAGCCGCCACAGACGATGGCCAATAATTCCAATCAATTCAAGTTAGTTTTTTGTCATTCACTTATATGACATGATATCTAATCTAATGTATATATTACAGTAGCGGCAGTCCGTATTATGTAACCAATCAAAATGCCGGCGTCAGTGTGCAGCAGGCGCATGTGGATGGGGTTGGCGGAGGCGCAGGCGGAGGAGTTGGCGCTTTGATTGCGCTTAAGCGAAATCATGTAATGGCCGTGTCGCATCCGGCGCCGGCGCCGCCAACGCTAAATCAGCAGCAGACGCAACAGCAGCCGCAGCAGCAGCAGCATCCTGAGATTATATACGAAGAGCTGCCGACCGATTATAGCGGTCACATGGAGGCGGCGGGCGAGGAGGAGTGCGTCGCAGCGGATGCCACAGCGGCCAAGCGTCCCAAGTACGTCTCCGAGGTGCTCTGATGCGTACGCATACAGAAGCAGAAACACAACAAAGGCAAATAATAATACGCAGAGAAAGAATCGCAGCTGTTGGAGCTGCAACCGCAGCAGCGGCAACGTCGCCGACGATGACGGAGGCGGAGGCGGCGCCGGCGAGCAGATGAAGAAACTCAGAACCGTTAGAGAAAGCAAGCAAGAAATGCAAAACAAAGCCCACTTTAAGCAAATTTCTAGAAAGCAAAAAAAAAAAAAACTAAAACTAAAACAAAAACAAGAAGAAAAAGAAAAAGTATCTCCATCTTGTATATTGAATTTGCCAATCCCGAACATCAAGCGAGAATCCAAGCGGAAGCCCCAAGAAAAATTGATACGAAAATGTTTATAAATAGAACTGTGAAATTGTGTTGTTTTAAGGTGTTGACCGTACAACGGTTAACCGGCGTGCAAACACTTTTCAAAAAAAAAAAAAAGAAAAAAGCCCCCATATTTACGACTTAACCCTTAGCTCTGACGAATTCAATATGCTCGATGACGCTACTCTCTAAGTACATATAATAAATATTAAGATTTAAATCGAAGTAATGCAAAAATAACACAAAAAGAAAAAAGCAAAAAAAAAAAATTAAATATATATATATATATATACCTAAACCTATATATATATATATATATATATATATATATAGAATTATATACGATTGATTATTGTAATGATGTTTAAGATGTTATAGCTATGTGACCGAAATGAGAGAAAATAGGGGTAAAACCAAGCAACCAACCACACAAGTAACAAACAAACAAACAGGCAAATGAATATTATTACCTATCTACATACCTTTACCTATATCGATTTAAATATAAATACAAATATATATCTATATATAAATATATATATATATATATATATATATATATATAAAGTATATACAAAATATTAAAAGTAAAATATCTACAAATTTACGGATACAAATACAAATACATAATAATGCAAACCATCTAAGTATAAAAAACAAAAGCAAATCTAAAAAACAATTGCACTTTATTTCTTAATAATGAAGAAAATCCCATTTAAGTGTTTGGACAAATTGTGTATTAAAACAAAAAAGCAAATGTCAATTTTTGGTCGTTTTATTCCCGAAGATCAGTGCGTGTTAATATCCTTTAATATAATCTATTTAATCTCTAACTAACATAATTTTAGTTTTAAAGCGCAGTTGGATTTTCGCAGTTAAACAAAAGAAGATGGATTTATTGTTATTTATTGATATTTTTCGTTCACATTGCTCGATATTGATTTAATAGAACGTTTAAGCGACTTATACGACGACTCTGAATTTTGTACAATATTTCGTATTTAGCTTCTTGTGTCAGGAACTTTGATTTGCCAGGACCCTCGTAGAACTCGTCGCCAGACATTTTTGTGTAATTGATAGAGCCAAGCAGGCCCTGAACATATGTCTCGTTATGCCTTTGGCAGTCTGGTTTCTCAGATTCCGCATCAATGATTTCCATTTGCTCCTCATTTGTTTCGTCTTTTTTTAGATTTGTATTATTATTTTCGAAATCTCCACTTTTCTGTTTAATGCTGCAATCGACTGTTTCTTTTCCCATTGTGGACTCGTCCAGGAATCCATTCAATTCCAAATACTTGGCGATCATCTTATAACGTTCGATTTCCGTTTTCAATTTGGCGGTTACGGAAATATATTCGGAGAACGCATGATAGCTCAATTGCAGAACTTTGTCGCAAAATAGATACTTATAATGCTTAGAGGTCAGGACAGCAGACACCTCTTTAATAAGGCTCTTGCTATCGAAACTGTGGCCCAGTTCGAATAGATCAATCAAATCCTCCACCTTCATGGACTTGGCCCGTTCGATCAATATGTTCAGACAGTCCTCAATTATGGATGGCACCAGCCAACGATTTCCGCACACGAACAAATCGGTTATGGTTTGCGTGGTGCACTCGTTCAGATTATTCTTATCATATGTGTATATATAGTCGCGGAATATCTTGAAGGTGGTCGGTGATATGTCCTCCAAGTATATGCGGCCGGACAGCGCTTCCTTGAAATCGCCCAGAAACATGCGCTTGAAAAACTCGGACGCATACGACAGTATAAGTTTGTGGCACTTGAATGTTGTGGCGCCGACAATAATAACGCAGTCCGTAAAGCTGGAATCATTGCTCAGATTTTTAGAAGTATCCACCAACCTTAAAATAGATCAGTCAAGATGAATAAATCTGGCGTACAAGTATCGCGGTCAAGCATACCATTTGCTCATGGTTTCGAAGAATATGAAGAAATTCAAGAAAATATTAAAAACAGAATAGGAAATACTGTCTAAGGCCAAGATTAAAAGTCACATCCAAATTTATCGCAAAAGCTTCCGAAAGTGCTGGAAAACGCCGAACACCGCTTCGATAAATCCGAGAATGAGGTTAGAAATTTTGATCGTATAAAACCTTTTGCACCATAATAATTAAACGACTTTTAATTCAATTCGAGATTTATATAGCAAAAATTGCTGCAAGCATAGACTTATTTGCTTTAATAGAAGCTTATTTATTTTCTTTAAATTTATTTGCACAGCATTTGTTTTACAGCACTGACAATTTCTTTAATTCCACCTCCTTAAAAAGTTTAGAAATCGTTGTTTTAATTAAAAACAAAAACTTTTAAATGCAGCAAAACAAGTTAATAAAAAACGTTTATTTAAAGGAAAATTTCAAAAATTATCGTTGCTTGATTTAAAAATCCTCAACTGACATTATAAAATCACATGATATTTTACAATAATTATATGGGATTGGTTTCTTTCTTGAGCCAAGCCAAAGTGAATGAGTCGTCGGATAACAAGGGGGAAAGCGTTTCCCAAACCAACTTATGATAGTCGTTGAGTAATTGAATTTCGTTCTTGGTCAGAAGCTCCTTGATAACCATTTTCGTCTGTTTTGGGCACATGGTGATGGTTTTAAACGTCAGAGCACCGCGGTTGGCAAAATTGTGCTTTCCTTCGGCTGGAACAATTTGTACAATGTCCTCGATGCGTATGCCAAACTCTCCATCCTTATAGAAGCCGGGCTCGTTTGAAATGAACATGTTTTGCTGTAGGCCGGGGTCATCGGGCATTGGCCGAAAGCCGACACCCATTGGACCTTCGTGCACGTTCAGGAAATGTCCAATGCCGTGGCCAGTTCCATGGCCATAGTCTAGGCCGACATCCCAGAGCGCCTTTCTGGCCAACACATCTAAAACCTGACCCTTGGTCTTCGTGGGAAATACTGTTGAGCCGAAAGTTAGTTGACCCTTTAGAACACGCGTATAGGCTTCTTTTTGAAAGTCTGTGGGATTGCCAAAGTGAAAAGTTCGGGTTACATCAGTTGTGCCATCCAGGTACTGGGCGCCAGAGTCACATAGATAGATTTCCTTGTCGTTGATGGGCCGGTTTGTCTCCTTCGCTGGATGATAGTGTATGACCGAACCGTTGGGACCCGAAGAACTAATCGTGGTAAAGCTGAGGCCCATATAGTTGTCCTTAGTCTTTCGAAACGATTCCAATTTATCAGCTCCGGACATTTCATCGACATTCTCGCCCCGCGCCACGGCAGCTTCCAGCCAGGCATAGTACTGGCAGAGCGCCACGCCATCGCGTATGTGGCTCTTGACGAATCCTTCGATTTCCTTGTCATTTTTGATCGCTTTAAATATGGCAATCGGCGTGATATCCTGATGTCGAGCCGATTTCGGCACGAGGCAATTCAGGTACAGGCTGCTCGTTGGCGATATCCAAATTTTGCCTTTTGTTTCGGCCGCAATTTGACGTACGCCATCGCCAATTGATTCATACGGATGTATTAGGATCTTGACATTATTCTCACTTAGATGAGCTTCAAAGTTATCTGGCAGCTTGCTGGAGTCGATATACAAGGCAATCTCATCGTGTGTTACGATCATAAATGCAAAGAATACCGGATTGTAGGCAATATCCGAGCCGCGCATATTAAGGAACCAGGCTATCTCATCCAAAGCGCTGACAACTAAAGCGTTCGTGTTGTGCTGCTTCATTTGGTCACGAGTGCGCTCCCATTTCTTGGCTATTGGCTCGCCGGCAAAGGCCAAATTCAATGTGATGAGATTATTGGATGGACGCGGCGGTTGATCGGCAGCCCAAACCTGATCAATTAAATTTTGCTCGATGCCCACCAAATTACAATTGGCTGCACACAGATCCTTCTCAATGGTTTTCGCTGCACGAAACGAGAACAATCGCGGATCAACGCCCACAGCGCTGCCTCTGGGCAGATTCTTGCCCAGCCATGTGCCAATCGAAGGCGTTGTCGCCAGTCCGTCCTTGACCAACTCCCAATTGGCATCGAGCTGCTTCTCAGCCTGCTGATAATAGCGTCCGTCTGTCCAGAGCAGCGCCTTGTCCTGGGTTATCACTGCTGTTCCCGCCGATCCAGTGAAACCGCTTATAAATGCACGCCTCTCGTCGTGGGCACACTGATATTCGCTCTGATGGGCGTCATCTGATGGCACCACATAGGCACTTATACCGGCCGCTTCCGGTGCATTCGCGCATTGCATCAGCTCCCGGAGCTTTGACAATTTTTGGGTTGTGGCTTTCATTATGCCTCCTTACTGTTGCACTTCGCACGTTCGACACTTGGATAGCTATAAAAATATATATAGCTGGGCAACTATGAGATAAGTGTTATAGTATTTGATAACAAGCTAATCGTAAATTATGAATTGTATACGACAACTGCTTACTTAGTATTTCGCAGCTGCTGCAGTCGTAAAATTTTGCTCTTTCTCGCTTGCTTTTTGCGTGTGCTCAATTTAAGTGTTGATAAACGCAACAACGAAAAGTTATCGATAACAAAAACTGCGGCAATTTTTGAAATTGTTGTTGGTATGTAAATATAGGAGTAAGACAGTTGCCATGACTAATAAAAATATATGTGTAGAAAATTACGGTTTATAAACCTGTTTATTACGTATTCCTGCGTATTGTCAACAAAAAGAATATATTTATTAAACACATTGATATTAATTCACTTAACGCTTAATCGTCTAACATTATAGGTTTTGCGCGGCTTCTTTTCCCAACAATTTTGTATAGGGTTTCATATTTGGATTGATATGTCAGCAATTCAGATTTTCCTGGACCATTGTAGAACTCCTTAACACTCATTTTAGTATAGTCTATGGCAATAAGTAAGGATTTGACGAAATCAGCTTTAAGCTTTCCTTTAATCTCGCTGCTCGCTTTATCATTTTTCACTGACGCTTTTTCGGTATCTGGTTCTATTTTCATATTTTCTGTGCCATTAATCAGTTCATCCTCATTACTGTCCAATTGATTTAGTTCATTTATTTCACGGTTTTCTTTATCGTTTATATCCTTCAGGAATCCGTTAATTTCCAAGTATTTTTCAATCATCCTATAACGTTCAATTTCCGGTCTCATTTTGGCCACCGTGGTCATATATTGAATAAAGATATCCGAGCCAAGCAAAAGGACTCGTTCACATAGCAACTGCTTGAAATGATGAGTCATCATAAGAGAAGTAATTGTCTGAATAAGGGACTTATTGTCGCAGTTATGCGCAAACTCATACAGCTCAATAAGTTCCTCCAGATTCATGGCTCTGGCACGTTCGGTCAGCACGCTCAGACAATCAGAGGTTATTGACGGTACCAGCCATTGATTGCCGCACTCGTACAGATCCATTAGGATAGCATTTTCTGTAGGTAAATCTCCCCCGAAATAGATTACTTGAAATTGCTCAACAGCATGCCCTTAAAGAACTCTGAGGCACTGGACAAAATAATTTTATGGCACTCGAAAGTTGTGGAGCCAACGATAACACGGCAATCCGAAAACTCCGTAGATAAACTACTGAGGACGGGCGCCAACCTTCAATTAAACGAAATTGGCATTCTGTACATTAAAAATAAATAGAAGAATATGGTAACCATTTGTCCATTTTTAGCAAATTTCTAGAGATACGAGTTCCTTCAAGAAGTTTCTGCAATGTCCTTGACATTGATATGGGAAGGCGACTTTTGGAATTCTAAAACTAATATACATACTAGTAAGCAGCGGATACAATAATGATTTTATTGCGCATGCGTTTAATTACGCCGACAACATCTAAAAGACAGTTTTAAAAAGTGATATTTACATACACACCAAATATTCGGAGCACATCCAAGTCTATTAGTTCTGGCACAACATGTTGTTTGGTTAGTGGTTCTAGGCACTTTTGTAGAATATATCGATAAGATTGTTTTCGTAAACGGCCGATAGGCCGTCTCTTTAACGACATTTAAATAAAGCGGTCAAGTTCAATCTACGATAACTATGCAAATGTACGAAAAATTGTCAAAGGTTGTGATTAGCTTATTAATTGAATAAGCAAACGTGTGGCTTGTTAATGGTGTAATGCATTGAATATACATGGCATTGTATGTTTAGTGGTGAAAGCTTACAAACGATATTTCTATCGATAGCTTTTGTGCCCTACCAGTTAGTGACATTAAGCATTCCGTAGCTTGCTCTTCGCACGACAAGTTCAGTGACTAAAATTGTTTAATTGTTTTTCTATCTACGTTTCCGAATAAGCAAAACACAAAAATGGTGGTCAAAGCTGTATGCGTTATCAATGGCGATGCCAAGGGCACAGTTTTCTTCGAACAGGAGGTAAGAGACTGTATATTATCTGCTTTCAACTTGAAACAAATATGGCAGCCCACAAAAACTAAGGTCAATTAGCCGGCCACACCGCACCACACCGAGCTAATAAATGTGTATGCTTGTGTATGTATGTAATTGTGTGTGTATATGTGCATACATATGTGATTGTGGACTGTTGCGGCGCTACTTGAATTTCAATTGCGTGTAGTTTGTGCTGTGTCATCTGATAAATGCATAATTATATAAGCACAACAACATTGCACACATGCATGCCAGAAATGCGCAAGTATGTGTGTACGGTTAAAGGCAAACGGCGAAAATTCAATTCGCCTCTTATACCTCTCTTTAACCGTATACACATTTACTCTTGGCTTAGGTATTGAATTGTTTTCTCGAGCGGATTAGAATATGACCTTAATTTCAACCTACCTTTGCCCAGCTAAAATGTTTCTGTCCTCATGGTTAGTTGATTCAGCTTATCAGCTTGTTGTGGCAGCATTTTAATTGTTCCTATCTCGTTTTAACCCTATGCGTATCTGTTTTCGATCCACTTCAACAGGGCGAGGGTTGCCCCGTGAAGGTTACCGGCGAGGTAACCGGCTTGGCAAAGGGTCAGCACGGCTTCCATGTGCATGAGTTCGGCGACAACACCAATGGCTGCATGTCGTCGGGACCGCACTTCAATCCCTACCAGAAGGAGCATGGCGCACCGACCGACGAGAATCGCCATCTGGGCGATTTGGGCAACATCATCGCCAATGGAGACGGTCCCACTCCCGTGAACATCTGCGATTGCAAGATCACATTGCTCGGCGCCAATAGCATTATTGGACGCACCGTTGTGGTGCACGCCGATCCCGATGACCTGGGCAAGGGCGGACACGAGCTGAGCAAGACAACTGGCAACGCGGGAGCTCGCATTGGCTGCGGTGTCATCGGCATTGCCAAAATCTAAACAACTCTAGAGCCTAAAAGCATTTCAAGCAAATGCATGCATAATAACCCACAAATATATATATATAAATATTGTATATGGATTTAATTTAGTGTATCCACGGCGCGTAAATACGGTTTAAACTTTCGATTGGATATATACGTACATTAAAGAGATTTTCCTTTGTTAGTTGTTCAAAAGCAACCTTTAAGGCAATAAATGGTGTTATCAAATTAAAACTTGCTCTCACTAGGAGCCAGAATTGCTATGAGCAACAATTTTACGTACTAGTCCAAACATTTTATTGGTTTCCAAAATACGTATATAAATTAGTAATATTTACAATTCTTGAAATCTAATTAGTCAAAGCTATGACATATGACTATGAAACAATATCAACGGGTTTAGAAACAAAAACAGGATTTCTAATTTAGAATATGGGTTTGGTGGCGAGTGCTTCTGTTGGCTTCCATTATGTCTTGTTGAAGTAGGACTGATAGACGATGCCCAGTGAAGAAGTGGCAAAGAGCGTAAAGTAGCTCCACCAGGTGGCAAAGCCCAGAAAGCCCTTGTACACTTCCGTGGAGAACACCTGAAAGGTACACATAGCTCAGTTAAAAAAGAACTTTTTGATATGAAAACTCTTACATTTTTCAAACTAGCAAATGAGGCCTGCAATGATTGCGCAGATTCCAGGATATTAAACTCGGCCTCCTCAACATTGGCGTCTTTGGGTGTTGTGGCCAATTCTCCATCGGCGGCACATTCATGCTGCAGCACAGCCGTCTCTTTAAAGATGCCCGTCCACGTAAAGCCGCCCAGGCTCTTGTACATGAGCGTCAGATAAAGACACAATATCAGCGGTGCAGCAAATTGCAACGTAACAACACAGAGATAATAGAAAATTGACGAGATCTGCAAGGCAAAGACAATATATCAGTCGTTAATTATCCAAAGCTTCTTCTGAGGCTTGCCTTCTTTTGGAACTCCACGTTGGTGATGCGTCCAGCCTCCTTGCGCAGATCAAGTATCCTGTCGTAGGCCAAGTTCAGATACGATTGCAAATAGATGGGCATCAGGGCAAAGCGCACAATGACCACAACGACCACCAGCAGCAGGCGCAAGGTTTCAAAAACATGTGGCTTGAGGCTGCAAAAATACAGTACAAGATAGAGATTCAATCAATTTGCTGGGTTGCTCCTGAAGGATCTGATCACTTACAGCGGCTGCTGCATGCCCTGGAACACGCGCACCGTCAAATAGTCGCGACTAATGGGTCTTATCCACAATATGACTAGTATAAAGGGCAGCACAAAACTAACATTTAGTAAAACTTGCAGCAAACGATTGCCGCGACAATATTTCAGCGAATCCCAGTGCATTTTGGCCATGCGCAGGCCGGGAAATGTGAATAGGGAACCGAGCACACCGCAGCTCAATGCGAGAAAGAATTTGACAACAATTTTCGATGCTGGACCACTGCAAAACGGAGAAACGTTATTAATCAATTCAACTAGGAACTTAGATGCTTAAACGCACGACGACGGCAGACCCTGCTCGGTGAGAAATTTCGAGGCGCTGGCATTAAAGCTGGTATAGGCATCCTCCAGACCCGTCTCCAGTATGCGTTCATCAATGATAAGGACAATCATGGCAATTAGTAAATAAACCAGACAGGCCACTATCACCATGGAGCGCTCCCCGATCGATTCCTCGCTTTGGAAATACAGCACAGTCAGCGAGGACAACAGCTTGATGGCAAAGAAGATGACCAGCAGGCACCAGACCATGCTCAGATTAATTTCCTGCTTGAGCGGATAAAAGTAGTGAAAGAGCTCCGAGATGATGTACACAATGGCAGCATAAACGCTGAAGTCCAGCAGCCATTGGTATTCGGTAAAGTAACGCAAATGTATCACGTCCCGCTCCACGACAGGCAGCGTCTCCAGCTCCACTTCTATGCTGCGCGGTATGTGAAACTGTTGCGAGGCGCTGCCATTGCTCAAGCCGTTTGGCTGCTTGTGCTTGCCCTTGGCGGGCCGATCCTTTGGCACGCCGCCCTTGGTGCGCAGCTCGTCGTCCGTGGGATGCAGATAGCGGAACAGCCCGGTGCGGCAGAGTATCCATTTGGCAAAGGAATAATGCGGGCTTAATTTCTGTATGACGCTGACCATTACCAGCGTAATGACTAATTGGGCGCCCAGTATGGCCTAGAAGCATATAATTACCATTAAGTATCACAGCCAACAATTGTTTCTGTCATATATATATAAATATTTTTGGGTCAATTCTATTTTTGGTCATTTATTATGTACATTTCATTTTTCCGGGCAAACGTTGCCCTTTAGTTGTGTGGTTCATGCAATTACTTACCATGATTTTGTGCTGCGATGTGTTATGTGTCTTATGTAGATGCGCGCATGTAACGAAACGTGCTAATTGATGTTTTAATTAATTCATGTTTCCTAATTTAAAGAAGTAATGTGAATCTAGTTGTGATTTACCGAATCGCTTGGAATTTTTTGGATCGAACGACTACTTCAAATGAACTGTTAGCTGGTTCCTATTGTTTGCACTGCTTGCTGAATGTTATGTTGGCGGCAATTTAACATTTCAATGTATGTTAAGACCATGTAACGAAACATGCTAAGTAATGTTTTCATTATTTCGTCTCCCCTAATTAAAAGAAGTAGTAATGCGAATCTAGTTGAGTTTTACCAAATCGCTTGGAACTTTTTGAATCGAACGACTACTTCAAATAAACTGATAGCTTACACTGCTTGCTAAATGTTATGTTGGCGGCAGCTTAACCTTTCAACGTATGTTAAGACCAGTATGTGCTGCTTCTATCGATATATTTCATTTCATTCATTTTTATCTGAAAATACATCGATATATCAATGTGTTCATACATCCCTGATTGATGCACGTTTTTTAATGCCGGCACAAATAAAAGTAAAGATTAGTAGAAAATTATGTTTATGAATGCAAATCTTTTTGAGCCGGGAAAATCGAAGCCGGAACGCAACTTTATACAGGGTGCAGTTAAGCAGAATACCCGCTTCGATGGCCGCAAATCAAACGAATTTCGCGACGTAAAACTTACCTTTGGCGCCGACTGGGGCACTGTCGCGGTGTCCATTGGCGAAACAAAGGTGTTGGCACAGGTCAGCTGTGACATTGGTACGCCGTCAAGTGCGCGGGCCAACGAGGGCACGTTGTTTCTGAATGTGGACATCAAGGGCGTGGCATTTCTGGACGAAGCTCAGGCGACACACGATCAGCGCTTCCTAACACTCAACTCCCTTTTGGAGCGGACGTTCAAGAGTTCGCGTTGCCTGGACCTGGAGTCCCTTTGCATCGCTGTTGAGCAGAGTGTGTGGTGTGTGCGGGTGGATATCAATGTACTAAACCACGACGGCAATCTTTATGGTGCGTTGAAATAGCTGACAATGACAAGATAAAAACGGTATTCAAATGCTTCAATTGTAGATGCCAGTACCATTGCGGCGCTGGCCGCTCTGATGCACTTTCGCCGGCCTGAGGTCTCCTACGTGGAGGAGGAAATTCGCACGTTTAGCGAAAGAGAGCGCGAGCTGTTGCCGTTGCTCTTCCTGCACTATCCCGTGAGCGTCACCTATTGCGTATACAAAAGCAGCTCGCAGCCATTGGTGGATCCAACGCTGCTGGAGGAAAACGCCGCGGACTCGGTCATTGTATTGAGCTTTAACTCCTATCAGGAGCTGTGCACGCTCAACGCTGGCGGCACCGCGCCCACCAATGTGCGAACCATCATGCAGTGTGCACGCAGCGCAGCCAGCCGCTCCAAGGCGCTGGTGCAGTTCATACGCAAAGCACTAGAGTTAGATGCGGAGCGTCGACAGCAGCCCAACCAGGTGGCCGGTTTAGTTGATCTCCTTAACGAAAGCGCACCCCAGTTGAGCTTTAAACATCTGATGGCAGAGCAAGGGCAGACGGAAACGAACAAGGCAGACCAGTTAAGTGGTGATGAACCCATGCAGTTACAAGAAACAGTTTCCGAGGAACAGACTACAGACACGTCCACACAGAAGATACCCGGTAAAACCTTAGCAGAGTACGACCAGGCTATATTAATTATTCTCCGTTTCACATTGCACAGAACCCCAAATGGACGACAGCAGCTGGTTGCCGCAGGAGCAAAATCTCTCGGAGGAGCAACAGGTGGATGGCGTACAACTGAGCTCAAAGCAAGAAGTGCCGACAACTGCCAAGGCGGGCAAGTCCAAGCCCAATCGCGGCAAAAACAAGTTTGTCAAGAAGCAGCCACCGACACCAAGAAAACAAAGTACGTAGCACTTTTATTATGCCTTACCTTATTAGAAATCTTAACAAAAACTATTTGCAGATCAAAGCGATTCGGAGGAGGAAGTCACGCAAATCATTTGATAGATAGTTTAGTGTTCATATAAATAAAATTTATACTTTATATACGCTTAAGACAAAGTTTAGTATAAGTATAACTTTAGATAATTTAGTTAAAATATGAAAAGTTTTTTAATGTATCATAAACAAGTCGGCCGTAGTATATGGAGCAGCCCATGAATAATTGACACTGGTGCTATAATGCTCGGCAGAGATTGTGTTAAAAAAGATAAACAAATAAATAGGCTGGCAAGAGCTAAAGCTAAATAGGGCTATTATTATTATATATAGATATGTATATACCATGTACGAATCGCAATTATTGGTAAAGATCTTGGAGCTGCGCTCATTTCTCAGTGCATACCTTTTCCTAAGTCCTAAGACCTAAGTCAAGTATTTTACTATCAGACAAGCGAGTAAGATCGGCTTTAGTCGGGCCAAGATGTTAACTCCAAATTAACTGCATTTCCTGTACTACCTTGCACCGCCAATTTAACCTAACAATTTGGCATTGGCATTTCTATAATCTAGTTTCTATGTAAGGCTATGAAAATGCTAAGAGCTTGAAACTTTTAACCATTTGTTAAATTTTTAAAAAAAGACAAAGCTATCTTAGTTGACATGATGTTCTGCGCGTTAACAACAAGATGGCAAAGAGTTTAGATTCTTGTTAAAGTTGCCTCGTTTTGGAAAACAATTTCTTAATTGTGCTCAACATTTTCATTTTTATATTTAATTGTCATGTAGTCTCACAAGTTAATAGTAAAAACATTTAACCAGGCCAAAGAAGCTTTTACATTTAATTCTTCTTTGTGGATAGGCCGGGCGAATAATCAAGTTGCACCAGTTGTTTCCCCTCCAGCAGCGTTTCAACTTCGGAGTGGGCGCAATTGTTGTCGGAACAGGAGTCGTCGTGGGAGCATGAGTTGTCGTTGTCGTCGTTGGAGCAACTGTTGTTGTCGTTGGAGCTGCTGTTGTACTCTGAGCCGACACCATCTGAATAAAGGCTAAGGCCATCAGCGGGAAGACCACAAAGTATTTCATTTTTAATTTTTGGGATATTGATGTTGCTTGAGTTATGATATTTTGAAACATGGCTCTGCTCTTTTATAGAGATTTTGATAAGGAACCGTGATGGTATACATTATTATATATTTATTTTTACTGTGCGAAGCAAATAAGACCTAGTTCAAGGTGTTTGAGCTATATTAATTTAGTTCAAATAACGCTTGACTTGTAGTTTGACAGCAAGAGTTCTGTTTTTAAACAATGCTGTGCAAATAGAGTAGAATTTGTGAGATAAACGTCTATATATATTAGGTAGGTACTCAATTCCTATATTTACAAAATTATCTATTTAACAATAATGCCCATTGCGGAATACTAAGCTATTTCGGGGCTTCGCCTAGAAGTATGCTCTACTTTTTTTCGATTTAGAATTCTGTATTGGATTTTGAATTCTGTTGTCAGAGAGTCAGACATGCTTTTTATTATAATTTAATCTCCAACCTTTTCGCATTAACAACTAAACTTACAACAGGGAAAGAATTTGGGAACAAATGCACAGTGCCTTACACTCGAGATTTTTGTGCTTCGCCTAGAAGTATGCTATACTTTTTTGAATGGGCTTGGGATTTTGAATTCTGTTGACAAAGCGTCAGACATGCTTTTCATTATAAATCCATCTCTAACTTTTTCACATTAAAAACCAAACGTACAAAATTCCAGTAGAAAAAAAAAAGAATATGGGAACAAACGCACAGTGCCTTACACCCAAGATCCTCGATCTGGGCAAATGGGATTCAAGGGCAATTAGGCACTACAGTACCTTGCCACGCATTCAGAAGCAATTGCGCAGGGGCAACTGGACGTACATACAGGAACATCCAGAGGTAAATTTCGATATTAGCCACAATCTGATCTAACTGCACATTGATTGGCTTTAAAGATACGCGCCATCATACGTGTCATAATGCAGCACGTGATCAATGCCAATCCGGATAATGTACGGGAGTGTATAGCCGATTTCTTTAATTGCGGCCGCACCCCTTTGCTGGTGCCTATGGTAATTTAGTGCGTCTTGAAAATGTTTCGGTATCTAATGACAGCTCCGTAGATAAACACGCAATTAAAGTACGTGAAGGAACAGCTACAGCGCGGACGCTGGAGCAAGTTTGATGCGGAAACGTTGTTCATGGAGAGTCCCTCCACCCATTCGCTCTTATCGGCAGCTTCGACTGACTTCAATGTGCATCCCGTGCTCACCTATGCCCTCGTCTTCAAGAAACCCGACGAATGTGGCATTGATAAACCGCCTTATTGACAATCCCTCCAATCGAATGTGTCATATCACATGCACATATCTAAGTTTATTTTTATGGCTGCATTTCGGCTAATTTTTCAAAAATAAATATGGTTTATATGGTTAAAGAGAGCTGACCTCTGGCAGTTATTGTTGAAATTTAAAAGCATTTTTTTGTTTTTAATGTTCATATATTCGTCAAATTCGTCAAGTTAATAGTAAAAACACTTCACTCGGCCAAATAAGCTTTTACATTTAATTCTTCTTTGTGGATAGGCCGGGCGAATAATCAAGTTGCACCAGTTGTTTCCCCTCCAGCAGCGTTTCAACTTCGGAGTGGGCGCAATTGTTGTCGGAACAGGAGTCGTCGTGGGAGCATGAGTTGTCGTTGTCGTCGTTGGAGCAACTGTTGTCGTCGTTGGAGCAACTGTTGTTGTCGTTGGAGCTGCTGTTGTACTCTGAGCCGACACCATCTGAATAAAGGCTAAGGCCATCAGCGCGAAGACCACAAAGTATTTCATTTTTAATTTTTGGGATATTGATGTTGCTTGAGTTATGATATTTTGAAACATGGCTCTGCTCTTTTATAGAGATTTTGATAAGGAACCGTGATTGTATACATTATTATATATTTATTTTACAAGTGTGCGAAGCAAATAAGACCTAGTTCAAGGTGTTTGAGCTATATTAATTTAGTTCAAATAACGCTTGACTTGTAGTTTGACAGCAAGAGTTCTGTTTTTAAACAATGCTGTGCAAATAGAGTAGAATTTGTGAGATAAACGTCTATATATATTAGGTAGGTACTCAATTCCTATATTTACAAAATTATCTATTTAACAATAATGCCCATTGCGAAATACTAAGCTATTTCGGGGCTTCGCCTAGAAGTATGCTCTACTTTTTTCGATTTAGAATTCTGTATTGGATTTTGAATTCTGTTGTCAGAGAGTCAGACATGCTTTTTATTATAATTTAATTTCCAACCTTTTCACATTAACAACTAAACTTACAACCGAGAAAGAATTTGGGAACAAATGTACAGTGCCTTACACTCGAGATTTTTGTGCTTCGCCTAGAAGTATGCTATACTTTTTTGAATGGGCTTGGGATTTTGAATTCTGTTGTCAGACATGCTTTTCATTATAAATCCATCTCTAACTTTTTCACATTAAAAACCAAACGTACAAAATTCCAGTAGAAAAAAAAAAGAATATGGGAACAAACGCACAGTGCCTTACACCCAAGATCCTCGATCTGGGCAAATGGGATTCAAGGGCAATTAGGCACTACAGTACCTTGCCACGCATTCAGAAGCAATTGCGCAGGGGCAACTGGACGTACATACAGGAACATCCAGAGGTAAATTTCGATATTAGCCACAATCTGATCTAACTGCACATTGATTGGCTTTAAAGATACGCGCCATCATACGTGTCATAATGCAGCACGTGATCAATGCCAATCCGGATAATGTACGGGAGTGTATAGCCGATTTCTTTAATTGCGGCCGCACCCCTTTGCTGGTGCCTATGGTAATTTAGTGCGTCTTGAAAATGTTTCGGTATCTAATGACAGCTCCGTAGATAAACACGCAATTAAAGTACGTGAAGGAACAGCTACAGCGCGGACGCTGGAGCAAGTTTGATGCGGAAACGTTGTTCATGGAGAGTCCCTCCACCCATTCGCTCTTATCGGCAGCTTCGACTGACTTCAATGTGCATCCCGTGCTCACCTATGCCCTCGTCTTCAAGAAACCCGACGAATGTGGCATTGATAAACCGCCTTATTGACAATCCCTCCAATCGAATGTGTCATATCACATGCACATATCTAAGTTTATTTTTATGGCTGCATTTCGGCTAATTTTTCAAAAATAAATATGGTTTATATGGTTAAAGAGAGCTGACCTCTGGCAGTTATTGTTGAACTTTAAAAGAATTTTTTTGTTTTTAATGTTCATATATTCGTCAAATTCGTCAAGTTAATAGTAAAAACACTTCACTCGGCCAAATAAGCTTTTACATTTAATTCTTCTTTGTGGATAGGCCGGGCGAATAATCAAGTTGCACCAGTTGTTTCCCCTCCAGCAGCGTTTCAACTTCGGAGTGGGCGCAATTGTTGTCGGAACAGGAGTCGTCGTGGGAACATGAGTTGTCGTTGTCGTCGTTGGAGCAACTGTTGTCGTCGTTGGAGCAACTGTTGTTGTCGTTGGAGCTGCTGTTGTACTCTGAGCCGACACCATCTGAATAAAGGCTAAGGCCATCAGCGCGAAGACCACAAAGTATTTCATTTTTAATATTTGGGATATTGATGTTGCTTGCGTTATGATATTTTGAAACATGGCTCTGCTCTTTTATAGAGATTTTGATAAGGAACCGTGATGGTATACATTATTATATATTTATTTTACAAGTGTGCGAAGCAAATAAGACCTAGTTCAAGGTGTTTAAGCTAAGTTAATTTAGTTCAAATAACAATTGACTTGTAAATGTTTGACAGCAAGAATTCGAATATCCGCGTCTACCTGTCAACAATGCTGTGCAAATAGAGAATTTGTTAGATAAACGTCTATATAAAGGTATACAATTCCTATATTTACAAAATTATTTTTATAACAATAATGCCCCTTGGTGGAATGCTTTACTATTTCGGGGCTTCGCTGGAAGTATGCTTTTTTTCGAATAAGCTTGATAGGGATTTTGAATTCTGTTTTTAAAGTATCAGACATGTTGTTCATTGTACTTCAGTCTCTAACTTTTTACAGCTAAACTTACAAAATTCTAATAGGATATTATAATTATTATGCTTTACATCAAAGATTTTGGTGCTTCGCCTAGAAGTATGCTCTACCTTTTTATAATGTTTTTGTGCAAACAGCCGGAAGGAAGCATGTCCGACCCCATAAAGTACATGTATATATTCTTGATCAGCGTCAACAGCCGTGTCGACTTAGCCATGTTCGTCTGTCTGCCCGACTGTATGTATGAAGCAAGGAGCTAGAGAAATTTTAGCAATTGCGATTGTTTTCTGTGCTGCTATATTAAGTTGGTTTTTTCTCAATGTTACACAATTATTGGTGTGGCTTGCAGTGGCAAATAATGCGGTCTGCCGCGAGATCGAGCTCTACCGGGGAAACTTTGTTGTTTTTTTTTTTTGCTGGTATGGCTATTGAGTAGAGTCATCAGCAAGTTATTCGGTCAGTTGCAAGTTCAAACTCTGCCAAGGGAACTCTTTTTTATATTTTATCTTTATTACTTGAAACGAGCGCGTTGCACGAACTGCATTTGGCGTTAGAATAAGAAGGTTCAAGGTATTCACTAGTCGGGAGCCCCTCTAGAACCTCTTGTTTAATTTTTTAATTTCAAATTTTCAGATAGTCTTGCAAATTAAATGTAAAAACATTTCACTCGTCCAAAGAAACGTTTGCATTTCATTCTTCTTTGCGGACGTGGCGGGCGAACAACTAAGTTGCACCAGTTGTTTCCCCTCCAGCAGCGTTTTATCTTCGGAGTGGGCGCAATTGTTGGCGCATTAGTTGTTGTCGTGGGAGCAGGTGTTGTTGCAGTCGTTGGAGCAGGTGTTGTCGTCGTCGGAGCAACTGTTGTCGTCGTCGTCGGAGCAATTGTTGTCGTCGTCGGAGCGACTGTTGTGGTTGTAGGAGCGACTGTTGTCGTCGTCGGAGCGACTGTTGTTGTTGTTGGAGCAACTGTTGTTGTCGTCGGAGCAACTGTTGTCGTCGTTGGAGCAACTGTTGTCGTCGTCGGAGCGACTGTTGTCGTCGTTGGAGCAACTGTTGTCGTCGTCGGAGCAACTGTTGTCGTCGTCGGAGCGACTGTTGTTGTCGTCGGAGCAACTGTTGTCGTCGTTGGAGCAACTGTTGTCGTCGTTGGAGCAACTGTGGTCGTCGTTGGAGCAACTGTTGTCGTCGTCGGAGCGACAGTTGTTGTCGTCGGAGCAACTGTGGTTGTCGTTGGAGCTGCGGTTGTTGTTGTTGTTCTCCTCTGAGCCGACACCGTCAGAGTAAAGGCTAAAATCATCAGTGTAGAGACTATAAAGAATTTCATTTTGAATAGTTAGGATATTGGTGTTGCTTTACAAATGATTGCAAAGTTGTGATATGATATTTTGAGACGTGACATTTCTTTTTTATAGTGTTTTTGCTTCCGAATAGTGCGGTATTTTCTATTTATTTAATGACAACTGTTCGGAAGTAGCTGTTGTTAAGTATGTCAAATCTTTTGGTTTTGCTTACAGGTTATTGAAATTGTTTGACATCAGCAAATAGGCGCATGTTTTACAAAATGCTGACAAGTTGAATTTAGGCTCAGTTGAATAAATATATATGCAGCAAACTCTTAAGAGAATGGTAATATAAATCTTACTACTTGTATGTTAATGGCCTTAGGTATGTGCAAGTGTTATACTTCGAACTGTATAACAGTCGATTAACCTCATTCTGATAATTACATGCATAGATATGTTTGCCACTGTTAAGCCTTGAAGGCATGTGTGAAGCCTATGCTAAATTTAACATTAATATGTTATGTTGCTGTTAAGCCATTTGGATTGCACATTTTGTATGCAAATTTGTTGCTAAAGTGTGGCTGGCAGTTTATTTGTGGCACTTGTGGCGGTTGCATGTTTGAAAAATCGTGTGAATTACGCTCCTTTTGTTGTTGAACGGTCTGATGAGTATTCTAGATTCTCATTCTGGCAACGTGATTACAAACAGCAGACGCTGTGGAGCTGCAAAGAGAGAAAACGCTCGAATTCCTGCGAATTTTGACATTCGTTCTTTTGTTTTTGATCATATCCCTGTATCTATATCGTTTTGCATTTTAAACAAAAAACTGGCGTAGTATTTTGGGTAAGTTTTCCACCCCATTTGGGCTATTGTGTAATATACTAAGTACCTTGATTTTAATATCATTTTCGGTTTCATTTCTCGCTCCCTCCCTCTCTCTCGCTCTCTCTCTCTATCTCTCTTGCTCTGACACACTTGTCTCGTATACTCGCATACCTATCTACATATGTGCTCTGGCCGGGTGGACCTTGACGTCGTCTTTCTCGTGGTGGTGGTCTAATTAAAGCCGCAGCAAATATGCCCAAATTACCAGCAGTTGGCATTGATCTTGGTACAACATATTCGTGTGTCGGCGTCTTTCAGCATGGCAAAGTTGAGATCATTGCCAACGATCAGGGCAACCGGACCACGCCCAGCTATGTGGCCTTTACGGAGTCGGAGCGTCTCATTGGCGATGCGGCCAAAAATCAGGTGGCCATGAATCCAAATAATACAATTTTCGGTGAGTTGCAGCTCTCAATTATCTTCGTTTATTTGCAACATTTTCATGAATGAAACATGCGCAAATTTAGGATATCTCTTTCTTGTTTTTTTTTTTTTTTTTTAGATTTTATTTTGGGAATACTTATAGATGCACGGCTAGTTTGGCTGCTCTTGCATGCAGCCAGGCCAGCTAAGAGTAGTTGTTGGCCCAAATGTATTTTATGCACATTTCACGCAACCCGCCCGCAACACCTCGACGCGCTCTCCCTTCCTCTTTAATGAGCCGCATTCACTTGTTGTGTCAGTTCTTTTGGCTACGCCGCCTGCCGCCTCGCTCCTCCTCCCGCCTCGCTGCTCCTCCCGCTGCATGTTTATTAGCATAATTTGTGTCAGCGCATTTCTGTGGCGAACATTTCATGGTTCCACCAACTGTGAGCCAAACAAAAATATATACAAATAGAATATATTAACCTGACAATATTTACAATCCGAATTGAGGACGGACCTGCGCCCGCTGCCATTGACTTTATGAGGAGCATAGAATGGAGGAGGTGAATCTATGAAGAAGTAGTTAACCTCAATTTCCTGGCAGATGTTTTCGACTTTATGAGTAGAATAGAATACAGGAAGATTCCCGGCAGATCTTTTCCAGACTAGGTTCCGACTAGGTTATATTACTGCTTAAATGGGAAATGGGGCTTCATTTTGGAAACTGAACATAAATGAAAAGTTTGTTCTATTAAAAGGCTTAAAGCTCTTCCCGGAGCGCATTTGTTGCATCTGAAAAACTATAGAATGTTGCCTACTTGATGCTTGGTCCAATTATATTAACTCTATAGCTATAGTTGAAGCGAATGATCTGTGACGCTGAAACAGATTCTGTCGTAATGTTCGGCTTGTCTGTGAATTCTTTGGGTTGACTGCATCCTTCTACATCGATTGATTGCCTTGCTCACATACCTTTTCTCCAGTGCGCCCTTGAGATTTGTGCAGGTCTAATGCAAGACATGTTTTCTTTTTTGTACTTTCATTTCAGTCTCAGAGTCCACATAAATCTGCCCTGCCCCGAACCCGCCTAGCCTAAGCCTAGACCTGCGCCTAGATTCTCGAGTTGCTATAAGTTTAGTACAATTTGTTGAAACCCCGTCCATTCTGTTTGTTAGTTAATAAAGATAAAAACCCGATTGTGATATGTTCCACTGTTCCGTCCGGGATTGTCTTACAGATGCCAAACGGCTGATTGGACGCAAATTCGACGATGCAACGGTGCAGAGCGACATGAAGCATTGGCCCTTTGAGGTCATCTCGGAGAATGGCAAGCCGCGCATACGCGTCGAATACAAGGGTGAGAAGAAGTCGTTCTATCCGGAGGAGGTGTCCTCCATGGTGCTGACCAAGATGAGAGAAACAGCTGAGGCGTATCTGGGCGGCACGGTTACCGATGCGGTGGTCACAGTTCCGGCCTATTTCAATGATTCGCAGAGGCAGGCGACCAAGGACGCGGGCACCATAGCCGGGCTCAATGTGCTGCGCATCATCAATGAGCCGACGGCGGCGGCGATTGCCTATGGCCTGGACAAGCAGGGCACCAGTGAGCGCAATGTGCTCATTTTCGATTTGGGTGGCGGCACCTTCGATGTCTCCGTGC